AATTTCTTTAATTTATTTTTTTATTATAATTTAATTTAAATTTAATAATGAAATAACTTATTTTTGATTTACTAATATAAATTTTATAAAGATAATAATCAAGTATTCTGTTAGAACTTAATAATTATCCTAATTATATTTTAGATTTTTTATATTTAAAATGAGATAATTTATCTTGTATTTGATTATGTTTATCTACAATTAGTTACAAGAATTCAAATATAAAGCTTTAATAAATTGTACTTACACACAATCTACTTGTAATCTTGAGTTTTAAATAATATGTATTAATAAACAGTACTTTACGTATAAAAAATGATTTTTAAGAATTTTTATCAAATGCTTTTTAATATAGTATAGATATAGATAATCATTTGATAATCTTTTTAGATACCATTATACTTCTGAATGTTCCATAATCACGGGTTATCATATTATTAGATTTGTTATTTTATGAATACTACTGGTAAGTTTATAACTTAAAGGCTATATAATATATTATAATTATTATTTTTACGTATGAAATAAACAAATAAAAAAATAACATGGTCATTTCATGCCACACAAACCGTTTTGCTTATTGGAGCGTTTTGCTTATTGGAGGTAGTGATAATTGGTGGTGGATGACGATGACCATAGAGGATGTGAAGATGTCGACAAGTGGCATGGTGGGATTTATTGCAATGACAATGGTGATGGAGGTAGAGGGGATGGCGGTTTGATAGGCAACGGTAACCGTGGAGAATGTGAGATGGTGGTTATGGTGGCAATCTGCACTGGTGAACGGTGGTGATAGCAGACGATAATGGCAGGGGTGGTTATGCTGGAAGTGGAGGTGGCAATGGTGGAAGTGATGGTGGCCATCGACGGTGGTCGTTGGTGGTGGCCAGTGACCATCAAGAACAAAATAATACACACAATTCATGAGCATTAACCACCAAACAATAGCGTAAAACCGCATACCATACTCGGTCAATTTAACAGCCAAAATGTTCAATCAAGTATCATATTGTTTTGAAGCAGTCTGTTACAATAATAAAGAACGAACGCTATGGTCTAATTATAAATATAACCCTTACAAATGCTTCTTTATAGCAAGTAGGTTTCCACAACAATAAAAACGAGACGATCCTTGTTTATGAGCATGTTTCCAGCAAAATCCATTTCAAACAAGCCAAAATAGGAAATCACAGATTCACATTTCTCATCCAACATAATGTTAGGGCTATTTATATCACCATGCATGACTCCTTGTTGCGATGACAAAGGATTATGATGATAAGCTAACCCACGCACAACACCAACACCTATCTTGAGACATCGGGTTCTCACGTGAGACTCGAACAATCCATTGTTGGAGGCACGAGTCTCATGTGAACTGATGTCTCAAGATATGCATTTATGTTGTCTGTGGGCTAGACTACCTTCATAATCCTTTGGAACCAGTAACAAAGAGTCATACATCGTGACATAAAGAGCTCCAACATCTTGTTGGATGAGAATTAAGAAACTAAGATTTCTAACTTTGGGCGTGTCTCAAATAGTTTTTGTCATATACATGCTCAAAAACAATGATCTTATCGTTACAACTGTCACTAAACCAACTAAAAAGGTCATTTACTTATCATGAGAAGCATCATTATAACCAATGGTTATGAATCTCAAATAGGAACCAAAAACCAATGGTGTCCTCTTCTGAACATCCTCCCATATTCACCAAGCAACAGATTCCAGGGTTCCTGAAAACCACATTTCTTCATTAAAACTTCAAACAATCAAGAACCAGTAAATGTTTATATAAGCACAAACCAGAGACCAACCCAATTTACCAGAATTAAATAAATCACAACTATCCCTTCAAAATACAAACAGAACTAATCATCAAAACGATTATACAACATCATCAAATTCTATTGCAATATTATGATATCATTTACCATCCACATTTATGGAAAAAGATGATATGCTACCAGCTTTATGCTTTTGAACTTTCAAGCACAAATCAATGTTCTTCAATTCAAATATAATATCATTTTGATAATAATTCGTCCATGTTATCATTTTATAAGTAGAATCTAAAACTTGGGGCATCTCCAATCAACCGGCAATTTTAGGGATTTGCCGTTTGTGACTTCTCCAATCGACCGGCAAATGAATTTAGGTTTTGCCGGATCCCTTATTTGAATGGCAAATATGCCGTGGGTTTCTTGAACGGCAAAACTAGTGGGACCCATTAATTTGTATTAAAAACCATTTTTTATTTAATAATTTAGGGGTTGATTGGGTTATTTTAATGTGGGATCCACAAATTTGGTGATTTTTTTGGAGTATGATTGGAGTTGAATTTTTTTTTAGTGTTCATAGACACCATATTTGTTTTTTTTTGGTGTTTTTTTTGGTGTGAAGGTTGGAGTTGCCCTTAGACATGAAACATATGTAAGTTAAGATTCTGTTATAAAGATTCAGCAATATGTAACTTTTTAATCATCCAAAAGGATCTAAAGGAACGAAATCAATGTGCAGATCTCAAATGTTGTAAGCAGATTTATAGCTCGATATAAAACACTTCCAAACAGTTATATAAGAAAAGTAATAGATCTAGAAAACTAATTAATAGATGTCAAAGCTCGTAATTTCCAGGATTTGCGACAACCAAGATATTAATTCGACATACACGACTAGAAAACTCTACCAACCTATCTAGATCTCGAAATTAATCTATAAAAACTGATTTGTAATATCTTGAAAACTTTGCCGAACAATCGAAGCTAACAGTTGAATTTGAGAACTCAAATAGATCGATCTCAACTAAAATTTACTCGTAGAATATAGATCGATTTCATGCTGATAAGTTTCTAAAATTAAACAACAAAACATCATGCAATAGATTCAGATGTTAGATATACCTGGACTTGCAACAGGAACACCGATCTGAAGTGCTTCGATGGTGGTGAGTCAGATCTAGGGTTTGTGAGGAGCCGCAAACGGCCGATGATGCATTTCTTCGATGGTGAAATCACATCAGAAGAAAATCGGCGATTGTAAAGGGTCTAGGGTTTGCGTATTTATGATGGTTGGGATATTTTTAGCAAGTCCTTCCCTACACCAAGTTTTGTCAATATGGTCCTTCTTTTGAATAGTATTTGCAAATTAGGTCCTCGCTTTTACTTGTTTTTGCAAATAAGGTCCTTTTTGTCCTTAACTTTTCAACTTTTATCCCAAATTCTAAAATAATGCATGAAAAATAACTTGGTTTTTGGTTTCTAAAACCAATTCCTTTCGTGGTAATTATTTCGTGACTTTCAAAATCGCGTTTTAAGATGGTCGATAATGGGTACAGTATAATTGACGTTGACTAGTTCAAAAGTGCATGGTAATATAGTTATTTGCTTATATCTTACGATCAACTGTAAAGATATTGACGGTTAACCGTCAACCAACAGTTTGCATTTTCTTGTTATATATATATATATATATATATATATATATATATATATATATATAGGGGTGGGTTCAAATAAAAATCACTCAATTTGTAAAAACCGTGAAAACTTCATTCAACCAATCATAATTTTTTTATTTTGTTCATTTTTTTGTAATTATGAGAGGTTGATTAACCATTTTTATTGTGGATAGTGTTAATCATGGATATTATCATCTTCATTATTTTAATTTTAGAGAAATACTTGAAACAGTTTCATTAAAATTTCATTAAGTAGTATATGAAACAATTTCATAACCACATATGAAACAACTTTATCAAAAAAAAGTATTATATAAAACAATTTCACAAGATTAACAATTTCATAAAAAAATTTCATAAGATTAACGACGGATGAGAGTAGTTTTTACGGTTTTTACAAATTGAAGTGGTTTTCATTTGATCGCTCATCTCTCTCTCTCTCTCTCTCTCTCTCTATATATATATATATAGGGGCAGGTTCAAATGAAAACCATGCAATTCTAAGAAACCGTATAAACCAATTTCGACCAATAAAAAAATTCCATTTTTTTAATAAAATTTAATCAATAAGGGTATTTCAATCATTTTCCATATTTTTTCGATAAATAAGGAAGTTATTAATAAATATTAAATAAGAAAATTTAATAATGGAAATTATATAAATGATAACATTTAAAATTTTTATTATATTATAATATTAAAAACTTGATTTTAATTTTTTGTTATTCAATGAATCTGGAAACGTGGTATGAAGATTCTAGCTTCTTATGGAATGAAATCTTGATTTAAGGTTAGAGGAAAAAAATCCCATGCTCGTGAAACTGTTTCAATGTGAAAAAGTTTCATTGTAAAATGGTTTGTTTGCTTCTTCTAGGCATATTGTACATGTTAATGAAATAGGTTCATGATGGTAAAAGATGTTGATGCTCTAATTGATTCATGATTTATGATCTAGTTTCATGGTAATCCATGTTGCTTTGTGATTGAAGTTGATCCGTTTAGTTRGTAGGATGAAAATGAAACGGGTGCATAATGTATTTTGTTCTTTATGAAATAAATGTATAATGAAACGGGTGCATATTATATTTTGTTCTTTATGAAATTAATGTTCATGAAAATGTTTCAATGTGAAAAGGTTTCATTATAAAATGGTTTATTTGTTTCTTCTAGGCATATTGTACATGTTAATGAAATAGGTTCATGATAATGAAACATGTTCATGAACTAATTGATTCATGATTCATGAACTAGTTACCAAATGTTTCAATGTTCATGTTCTAATTAATTCATGATTCATGAACTAGTTACCAAATGTTAACTTTTGTTTACCAATTTTGCCCTTAGTATTGAAATAAAATAAATTTTAATATTTTTTATTTTTTAATTTCCTAAAATAAAGTAAACTAATATTAGTCATTGATCAAGAAAATGGATGGATGAGATTGGTTTACACGATTTACACAAATGGGGTAAGTTTTTATTTGAACGCTCCTCTCTCTCTCTCTCTCTCTCTCTATATATATATATATATATATATATATATATACCAGGTTATTTGGTATT